AAAGAATGAGGGGAAGTTATTGCAGAGTTCCACGTAGGGGACTGACATGATGTGATTTACTCCTCAATAGCTTGACTATGGACAGCAAGGATGGAAACGGGAGGACAATTAGGAAGGATGTTATGACAGCATTGTTTTTCACTTCTTCCAATTTATTTTTTAAATTATTTATTTTTAAAAATTGTGGTAGAATATACATAATATGACATTTACCATTTTAGCCATTTTTAAATGTAAAGTTCAATGTCATTAAGTACATATACATTGTTGTGCAACCATATCCATCTCCAGGTTTTCGTCATACAAGACTGAAACTCTGTACCCATTAAGCAATAGTTCCTCATTTCCCTCTCCCTTCAGCCCCTGGCATCCACCCTTCTACTTTCTGTCTCTATGAATTTCACTGCTCTAGATATCTCATATAAGTGCACTCATATAATATTTGTCTTTTTGTAATTGGCTGATTTCACTTAAAATATTGTTCTCAAGAATGATCCATGTTGTGGTATATGTATGTCAGAATTTCCTTCCTTTTTAAGGCTGAATAATATTTCGTTATATGTGTGTGCCACAGTTTGTTTATCCATTCATCCATCAATGGACACAGGTTGCTTCTACCTTTTGGCTGTTCTGAATAATGCTGCTATGGACATGGGTGTGCAAATATCTCTTCAAGACCCTGCTTCCCATTCTTTGGAATATATTCAGAAATGGGATTGCTGCATCATATGGTAATTCTAGTTTTAATTTTTTGATAAACCACCATACTGTTTTCCATAGTAGCTGCACCACTTTATATTCCTACCAGCAATGCATGAGGGTCCAATTTCTCCACCTCCTTGACAACACTTGTTATTGTCTGTTTTTTGTTTGTTTCTGTTTTGTTTTTAAAGATTTTATTGGGGAATTTGGAGAGGGAACAGTGTTGGGGAATCGGGGAACGGGAACAGACAGGTTGCTGTCCTTTGTTCTTCAGTGTAGTTATGGAGGACGTCGCTTCACTGGCCCATGTTGGTATTATCATTGCACTCTTCCCGGGTGAGGCAGTCACTTGCCGGCTGTTGGCTGGCCACTCACGGAGGCTCACGGCAGCTTCGCAGGCTGCCAGCCACTCACGGTAGCTCACAGCAGCCCACTGCAGCCTCACTACAGCCTAGCCATCGCCAGCCATTCATGGCAGCCCAGCTCCAGGTTGAGCTGTTGTTCACTATCTTAGCTGTAGAGGGCACAGCGTCACTGGCTCTCATGTGGGAACCTAACGCCGGCCCTGCTGCTCAGAGCTCACACTCCCAATCGAACTGTTAACCAACTGAGCCACTCAGCTGGCCCCTGTCTGTTGGTTTTTGTAATAGCCATCCTAACGAGTAGTAAGTGGTTGTGGTTTTGATTTGCATTTCCCTAATGGTTAGTGATGTTGAGTATCTTTTCATGTGCTTATTGGCCATTTGTATATTTTCTTTAGAGGAATGTCTTTTCAAGTCCTTTGGGTTGTTTATTTTTGTTGTTGTTGCTGTTTGTATCCAGAATACAAATAAAAATAGTTTTATTTGTATTCTGGATATTAATTCTTTACTAGGTATTATGCAATATTAATAATGCAAATATTTTTTCCTATTCTGTGGGTTGCTTTTTTACTTTGCTGATAATGTCCTTTGATGCACAAAAGTGTTAAATTTTGGTGAAGTACAAAATTTGTCTAGTTTTTCTTTAAAAGCCTATGCCTTTGGTGTCACATCTAAGAAATCATTGCCAAATCCATGAAACTTTCCCTCTGTTTTCTTCTAAACAGTTTTAGCTTTTTATAGTTTTAGCTTTTATGTTTAGGTCTTTGATCCATTTTGTGTTAATTTCTGTATATGGTGTTAGGTGAGAATCCACCTTCATTCTTTTGCATGTGGATATCCAGTTTCCCCAGAACCATTTGTTGAAAATATTGCCTTTTCCTACAAAAGGTCTTAACTTCTTTGTCAAAAATCATTTGACCACATATGTGAAGGTTTATTTCTGGGATATTCTACTCCCTTAGGCTATATTATCTGCCAAAACTACACTGTTTTGATTACTGTAATGTTATAGTAAGTTTTGAAACCAAGAAATATCAGTCCTCCAACTTTGTTCTTTTTTTCCCCCCAAGGTTATTTTGGCTATTTGAGGTCCCTTTAGATTCCATATGAATTTTAAAATGTATTTTTCTACTTCTGAAAAATCATTGGCATTTTGATGGAGATTGTGTTGAATCTGTAAATCAGTTTAGGGAGTATTGATATCTTAATAAATTTAAGTCTTCCAATCCATGAATATGAGGTGTCTTTTCATTTATTTATCTTTTTAAATTTCAGCAATGTTTTGTAGTTTTCAGTGTATAAATCTTTCACCTCTTTAAATATTTTATTCTTTTTGATGCTATTGTAATTGAAATTGTTTTCTTAATTTCCATTTTGGATTGTTCATTGTTAGTGTATAGAAATGCAACTGATTTTTATGTGTTGATTTTGTATTCTGCAACTTTGCTGAATTCGTTTATTAGTTCTAACAGGTTTTTTGTGGAATCTTTAGGGTTTTCTATATGTGAGCATATATCATCTGCAAACAGACAATTTTACTTTTTTCATTCCAACCTGGATTCCTTTATTTCTTGCCTAATGTTACTGCAGCATTCTATCCTAGAAATGACGAGGTTTTAATAGGGGTGAGGGAGATGAGAAATGGTTGGATTTGGGATATATTTTGCATGTAAAATAAACAGAATTGGTTGACTTGGATTGTGGGAGAAAGAGAGGAGTTAAGAATGACTTCTAGGTTTATATATGGATTTATTAGCTAAATCATTGTGGTACCATTTGATTATGGTGTAGATAGAGGAATATATGTTTCAGAGGGGGAGAGAAAAGATCTGTTTTGGCCATATTAAGTTTGGCTGTGGATGTAGATATAAGTAAGAAAATACTGTGAGAAGAGGTCAGAAGACAGACTTTTGGGGCAAGCTCACATGTAGAAAAGGGATGGAAGAAAAGGCAAACAGGAAACAACCCAAGGGGTAGAAAAAATTCAGGAAAGTCAGAGAAACATGGAGGAGAAAGTTTCAGGGAAGTGGCATTGGTTAACTGTGTAACAACTTGAGGAAGGAAGATGAGGACTGAGAAAGAACCTTTTACATGATCAATGAGGTAGCCATTGGTAACCTTTGACAGAGCATTTCAACAGAATGGGTAAGGCCTCTGCCTGAGAGCAAGTAAGTTGAAAAAGGTAGGGAGAGATGGGAAGTGCTCTAAACAGATCTAAAGTGTCATATACTGAAGGCTAAATTATTGATGTTATTGTTGTCATGGAAACAAAAAACCAGTTAGAACTAAAAGCCACTTAAAATTCCTGACTCTAGCCCATGACATCCTCTTGATTTGTTGTGAAAGATGCTGATAAAAAGTCATTAGAGAGTCAGGGTTAATCCAGGTTTCTTCCTTTTAAATGTAGTTCCTAACTGAAAGTCTTTTCCCTTCTTAAGAAGGAAGCCAGCACCAACACCCACACCAAGTTATATAAAGCACAGATGGCCCAGTGACCAAAAAGTTTCTTATTTTCCTGCTATTGGCTGACACCGTTCATAAACTATAATTTGCGGTTGCGCTTTTCTTTTAAATAAGCAAGCTGAATACTTGGAGGAGAGAGGCAGGAAAGCTAGAAGAGACAGAAGCCAAGGCAGCTAAAGGAAAGAAACCTTCAGGTGAACATTTTTATCTTTGCTTTGTTAATTTATTGTTGAGAATTATGCCTTCCTTATCACTTCATACATAGTCAGAAGAATAATTTTTGAAAAGTAAATTATTTTTGTTTAACTATAAATTTATTTCTACCATATACATAGTAGTTTAAAAAATATTAGGAAAGTACAAAAAAGTAGAAGTAAGCAAAAACCACGGCTGAGATAGCCTGTATTGACATTTTGGGGGTATTTCTTTCCATTCTTTTTTGTGTGTCTGTCTATAACTTTAGTTTGACTTTTGCAGTTCTGTTCATATAGTATCGATATATTTATATTTACTTTTTCCATTAGAGCATAAATTATTATTTGCATGGTATAATTCTTCATAATTGTAATTTAAAATTGCTGGATAATATTGCATTATGGAGATTTACTGTAATTTACTATACCCTTATTTTTTACCATATAACTTCTTTCTTATTTTTCATAGACTGGGTTATTTTATTATGTAAGATGTATTTTTTCCATTCAGGGTCTTATTTTGAAGGGGAGTGGAGGTTACATTTGAAAATGCAGATTTCGTTGGTTTTACTCAGAGGTACAGTGGGAGGGGAAGAGTGTGTGAGAGCATATGTTTATAATATGTTTATTCCCCCTGTTCAGATCTTGATCAGTGGTTCTTGACTTTAGCTGATCCTGAGGAGATTAGAAAATTATCCCCAGAAAATTTGAACTGTAACTTGTGAAGATGAACCAGTCATCTGCAGTAGCTTTTTGCTTTTCTTTTTTCTGAAAATTTCAGGTGGTCCTAATCGGCAGCCAACATAATAACAGTTTACCTAGTCATTTAAAATATTTTCCTGTCTCTGACACGTAACTGAGAATAATATGTATTAAGGGAAAGAGAGGTACAGTTTCAGGCAAGCCATCCAAATCTCCCTTTCAATACTGTATTAATAATGCAAGAGTAACTTGTGGGAAACACAAGCCTTCTAGAAATTTCTATCTTCCACCTCAACCACATAAACCCTTGAGATGAAACTATACTTGAGAGTTTCAATTTACTAATGCTTTAAACAAATGGATTGGTTTCCAGTGCATTGGTGGTTAAAAGTGAGAGATATTGAGGCTTCAGAATGTTCTAAATGTATCCAAATTAAGCCCAGCATCTGTTAGTATTCTACCTCCTACCCACCTGGGGTCCCGTGGGGTACTCCCACAATGTAAGTAACACCCGTTCTGGAAGAAAGATGCTATACTTTTGCAATGTACTCATTGCTTTGTGTCAGGAGCACCTTGGGCGTATTTGGAATCTCACGTGTATTTCAGGCTGGGGGACGCCTCCTGCTTTTCTAGTTTGTCTTGTACACCAGACATCTGAGGCACACTAGGCCCCCGAGGTTAAGCCTGAAAGATGAAAGCCTAACAGAAGCTTGGCTTGTGCGATTACCCAGTGAGCTCTGGTTAACACAGCAGCCAAGCTGGATAATGCAGAGAAAGGCAGGCATTTGCCTGGGTTGCTCAGCTTTACTATAGAGTCATATCAAACCCCTGTCAGAACCCCCAGCACCATCTCTACGCTTTTCTTGGGGGTGCTGACCACTGCCTTCTTTGTATTGGAGTTACTTATGTGAGGGTCTCATCCTTCTACTGGACCAAGAATGGCGTCCTCACAGGAAACCCAGTACACAGGGTCCATTAAGAATACATGGGAAAGTAGAGTACAGGAAGGGAATATAGTCAATAATATGGTGATAACTATGTATAATGCCAGCTGGGTACTAGACTAGTCAGGGGGATCATTTCTTAAATTATGTAAATATATAACCACTATGCTATTCACCTGAAACTAATTAAAATAATATTAAATGTCAACTGTAATTTAAAAATAAAAATAATTTTAATAAATTAATTCACCAATGAAGGTGGACTTAGTTAACAGCTTATATTTATCTCTGTTGAACCTATTAACCTCTTTATATTAATTGGAGAAAATGGTACCATCTTTGACAATATTTAAAGAAAAACTTCTCCTATTGGATTGATGACTTGGTGGCAGTATGGATTGACAAAGAAAGTAACGGGGCCCTGTGCCATGAGTTGGAGCCAAAGAATCCCAAAGTTGGAAGGGTCCTTAGGAAAAGCCAGGGTCAGGTCCGGAAGGCTTTTGCATCTTTAGTGTTTAAGGGAGAGGTTTCCAGACGAGGAGGAGCAGATCTGTGGAAGAACAAGAAGAGAAGAGAGGGACGGGACAGGCAGATGGTGGGAGGGACTGGGAGAGGAAGAGAGAGGAGGGAAGGGAAAGGAGGGAAGCCTATTTGCTTTGGAAGTTTAAAGATTACTTAAGCTGGGAAAACTGAAAAGGATCTAGTCCATGGTTATTTCCTCTACTGGTACATTATCATGGAAAACAAAAACCCCAAAAAACTACTTCCATGTAAATGTTGTACCATGAAGCTGTAGAGTATTTTACCTTGTTTGTACTTCTAGTACAGAAAACACGATTATCTACAGAGGACTTGGAGGCATCACAGATTCCCTAAGGTAAGCTGATTTCTTTGTATTTTGAGTCTTATCTTAACAATAACTTTGCTCTCTCATAAATTCTCTGAGAGATTTGAAGCTGTCTCCCATTGTTAGCTGTAGCAGACACAAATTCCCACCAGGAACTTGTTGGCAAGGAGTCAGAGAGACAATTTGCAACCCTCAGAGATATAAATAGTGTCACTTCTACAATGTTGAGATAAAGCACCATTTGAGTCCCTTTTGTGGCTGCTCCCTTGCCCCCATGTATTCCTGTCCTCATGCCTTAGATTTCAATTTTAGAGGCAGAAAGTTTGTGAGAAGAAATGCACTAACGTCATTTTGTTGCAAAAGACTATTGGGAATCCCCCCCCCACCACCACCACACACATACAGAAGAGATTTATTATGAGACATTAATGAGGGGGTTGGATAATAGCTTCATTAGCTCATTTATGGGTCCCTTATTTGAGCACATTTTTTTGTGTCACAGGTTGTGCTAGGGTCTGGGGATACAGGAGTGGTCAAGTGAGACTCCATTCTTGCTGTCAGTGGGCAAACAGTCTGCTGGGTGGGGATAGACAGGAGCTAGTCCTGCCTAATGGGGTTAGTGTGAAGATAGGAAACCCACAAGGCTGCAGGAGCAAGTGGAGCAGCAGCCAGCCCAAACTTGGAGGGGTCAGAAAAGGCTTTCTCTAGAAGGAGCGACATCTAGACAGAAACCTGAGGTTGGGTAAGAGATAGCCAGGTGATGAGCTGGAGCTCAGAGTAAATAGGCAAGAGAGAGCCAGGTGTATTTGAGGCACTGAAGTTATTAACTTCAGTGGGGCTGGAGTAGATTTTACTGAAGGGAGTGGTCGGGAGAGAAGGTGCTGGATGACAAGATCCGAACTGTGGAAAGCCTGGAGCTGAAATAAACTTCATCCTGAAGTGTTGATGGGTTTTAAGCAGAAGAGTAATGCGGTAAGATGTGCATTTTGGAAAAGTCACTTTGGCCAATGTGTGGAGAATGGACTGAGAATAGCAAGAGTGGAGGCTGAGAGCCACTCAAGAGACTGTGTCCTCTGTTATCCAAGTTAGAGATGACACCTGTACTAGGATGGCCCTAAGCTGGCCCCTGTGATGGAAGGAGGGGCTGGTGGGGACAGATGGGTAATGAGGCCAGGTCTGCCTCAAAGGAGACATGGTTCAGCAGGACGGTCTGGGAGAAGAGGAAAGCTGGCCATTTGCTTTTGTTCGTTGCCCTCTCCTCTTTAGGTTCAGATGCCCACTGCCCCCAGGCTATTGACAACTGCCAAGGGCAAGTCCCCTGGTTTTCAAAATTTCCACACATATGAAAGCATTCTCTCCTTGTCTGTTTATTTCTTACTATCTTATACAGGTATTCTATACCCGGCATTTAAAAAAGTTCTTAGGCGTTCCTTCCCTTGATAACAGACAGTGTTGCAACAGGAATGATAATGCATCAGATGCATATAATGTGCCAGGCTCAGGGCAGCTCAGTGCAGGAGGCTTTCATGTGTGTCGCCTCCTCTGGTCCTCTCAGTAACTCTGAGAGGGTGAGTACCTGCTGATGCACACACCGTTGGCAAGGGGTAGAGTCACGATGTGGATCCTATTGGGCTTCCATGATATCACAATGCTTCTATATCATCCCAGGAAACATATGATGTTTCACAAGCGACCTTTGTAAATAATTCCTTTGTTCTAGGAAGTGAATTTAATGGTGGAAATGCCTACGTAGGAGGGAAGAGAAAGAGAGGGAGTTTTAATTTGAATAAGTTGGCTTTAGGAGAGCCCCTGAGTCATGTCATTTAGTCACTTTGTGGACGGGGAGTGTTCTTATGCTGACACAACCTCTAGGACATTATTGGAATGAGTTGTTCAACGGGCCTCTGCGATAACACTTGCTGATCTTCTGTCTTTTTTTTCTGTCTTTGAAATCAGAAGACTTGGGAATCAGAGACTCAAATGAATAATGATTCTGTGGCCTTGGATGAGCAACTGGGCTAATAACAGATACCTCCGATCTTCCTTAATACACTGATGAAGTGCACTAGAGAAATGACAAAAATTTGTGGAGACAGTTTTATAAAATTCATAATCAGCATCATAGGCGCATATGTCCTATCAATAAGGAAGAGCTGGGAAAACTTATGAGAGCCAGAGAGAAGGCAGCACTTAGTCAAAACAATGCTTTAAAAAGTGAAGTCATATCTTCTAGGAGCTCGGAGTTCTTCTTACACAAAAGTTTTCTTTGTGTTGAATATGCATGTGTTTGTTTATTGTGGTGGCTAAGTGTTAGTGATTAGGATGAACACGGAAGGAAAGCTAGCTTTTGGAGAATATTAGAGAAGAAACAAGGGGATTTCGCAAAGACTGAGATGGGAGGAGGATGTGAGAGACAATTGCATGCATCTCGCCCTTGCAGGCAGAGAGAAGTCCGTCCCCTCACGTGCTTGGATGCCAACCTTCTCCTAAGGTCCAGTTTCTGCTACGTCCTTGGGGATAAGTTGTTCTCTGGGAGCATTCATCCCCTCAAAATAGCAGAAGAAGGAATCAAATTGTGAAACGACTCCAATTTTAGGGGATGGTTACCCCTAAATGTGTCCATAATCCATAGGCACCTTTTCGTACAGAGAAATTCTCAAGGAAGGGACTTCAGGTGAGAATGTGCAAACTGCCCAACCAAGCAAACAGAGGGGACAATCTTCTCAGAGAAGGATAGAAATAAGACAACTATTGCTAATCCATCAACCCAACACTTACACTTAAAGGGTCTGACATTTTGGCCACACCAGAAATTTCCAAACTGTCTCTTTTTACCCAAGCAGATCTTTCCCCTAAATGGCGGCTCTGACAACACACATCTTGTGGAGGTGCCCCTTCTTCCAACTGTCTGTGTACATTTGCGGTGGTGGATGCCATTTTACACACATTCCGTGGTCTGAGCAAAGTTCCCTTTTTAGGGAAAGGAGGCCACAGCTGATGTGTGCTGCTTGTCCAGCCCCTCAAACTGGACAATATTTCAAAAAGACCCAGGAGCCTTCAGTGGAGTCCAGGCAAGGAAGGCTTCATTGGCTCCCAAGGGTTCTCAGGAGTTAGGGAAAGTGCTAGAAGCAGAGACAGGCGGACACAAACTGAAGGGCATGTGTGGACTGACAGCTGGGAGAAATTACTGAAAAGCTGACAACCCAACTACAATGATTACAAGAAAATATTCTAATTAGAACACTTAATATCATAGGGCATGCCTGGTCTTTAGAACTCAAATAGGAAATCAAGTTAATGAAATTCAGAAGTTATTTTGGGGATTTCTGGACTTTTTCTGAACATTCTGGAATTTAGTCAGGAAGCAGGTCAGAGAGACCAACGAGTCACCAATATCCCCCTTCCTCCTGGCTCTATCCTGGTGGATTCCTGAGGAATCTGAGCAAGATGATGAAGGGGGGGGCTGAAAAGTTCGCATATGAAAGAAGCCAATTACCGTATTTGCCGGCGTATAAGACGACTGGGCGTATAAGACGACCCCCTAACATTTCCACTCAAAATACAGAATTTGTTATATACTCGCCGTATAAGACTACCCCCTCTTCCGCACACCTTCCACACACCAAATAAAAGGTAAAACAATATCAGATTTGATTTGGCCCACTGAAGTGCAAACAAGCGTATTGTATTTCGTGTCACCACATAACCGTTTTGGCGATGTTGAGCCACCATGTCTGCTACATGTTTTTCGAGTTCTGGCCAGTGTGGGGTGCCTCTTCTTAATGCACACTTACCCCTTGGCATACTCTTTAATGCTTTCTCATTTGATTTCCAGTCCCGAACCATCTTTTCTGTTACTCCATATTGTCTTGCAGCAGCACAATTATTATTTTCCTTAGCAAAGTTTATAACTTTCAGTTTAAAATTTGCATCATACTTCTTTCTTTTGGCTGGTGCCATGATAGGGATGATAGGGGTTTGACTGGTCGACATTTTCTATGCTGTACTGTACAATGGTGCAGTATTGTGGTTGGCTGTTGGCTGTATACAAAGCCTGATTTGATTGGTCCCTGCTCCCTGTTTGCCCGCCCTGTCACTATAGCAGTCTGGTCCACCCTTGCATCAGCATCTCCCTGGGACCTCACTAGTGCGCAAGTGCGAGCTCTTCAACATTCTAACAGGCACCATGATAGCGCAAAATCGCGAATCTTCAATGCATATGTAAAGAAATATACGGTAACCCGAATTTACCACACTCACAAAATCGCACACAGCCGACCATACACCCAGTATGGTATCGCGATTCGCGATTTTGCGCTATCATACTGGGTGTATGGTCGGCTGTGTGCGATTTTGCGAGTGTGGTAAAATCGCATAACAGCAAAATTGCATAACAGCCGAGCATACACCCAGCAACGCTGCTGATGCCTGAACGGTATGTGGAATGAAGTGGGCGGGCATCGGGAGGCCACTATGGCACGGGGCAAGCACTATGGGCAGTCTATCTGAAGTGTACCTGGCGTATAAGACGACCCCCCACTTGGAGGCATATTTTTCAGGGCCAAAAAATCGTCTTATACGCCGGCAAATACGGTATATTAGGCCATTACAAGAGGGGCCTGCATTTCATCTCCCACAGGGATCTTCTGCCTGTTGCTACAATTGCTTGTGAAAGCCTTCCCACCCTTGCTGCAAGATCTTACACAGGTCTTCCCCCTGATGGAAAACAGACTGGTTCCAAAGAATGTTCCTTAGGGGCTTCAAGTTACTCCACGATCCCATGGGGTAATTGTATGAGCAACACACTGAATTTTCTGTCTGTTGAGCTCCAGGGCAAGTCAGTCACCATTTGGGTGGGATCTGGGAAGAGAGCCCTATGTGAGCTTTGCTTCCATAGATGGAGTCCTACTCAGAAGACAAAAATGAGACAATAAAACTCAATAAAAACATAGATCCCCAGAGGGGAAACTTCAGTCAGTCTGCAGGATAAGTTAGCAGGCCCCAGGACTTGGGCTCAGAAGTCCCTCTGA